ATCCATTATTTGTATTCACCTGTTTCTTATCAAATGTTCTCTAGGACACAGCACTGACATAGTGTCACCACTAGTGTTTTAAGTGTTGCTTCCTACAGAGGAAGTGTTTGCTCATCACCTATCACATCTAAGCATTAATGCATGAAAAGGTTACAAACTTAACCTCACTGTGTAAAGGACTCAGCTTTACAACAAATGTTAAACCATAAAGTGAGCATCTGTTTGTTTAAACGTGTCAGCTGCCCTTGGTTTGTGGTGCATGGGCCTGTTCCTACGGTTGACTTTCTTCTGGCAACTGTGTGTCTTTCCATGCAGCCCTTCTGAACTCAGTAAAGCTTTGTGAAAGCTCAGCAGCTTCTTTGGAGAGGCTGGGGCTCTCCTTCGATGACCCTCCCACCTAGGGCAGTGCACGGCCATTGAGGATGCTGGCTGAAGTGCCATTTAACTTGCTGACTAAGGGCTGGGGCAGTTGGGAGCACATGGGCTCTAACTGCTTCACCATGTATCGTCAAACAAACTTTTTCAGGAGTTCAGTATTCATTAGATCTATGGAGGGGTAAATTCAAGCATTTCCATTCTATCTGCAGATCTCAATATAATGGGTTTAAAAGCAGAGTTTGAAAATCTCTTTTTCAGAGTGATGTGCAGACTTGAATGTGCTGAAGTGTGGCCCAAATAGCAGGGGAGGTCAGAATTACTAAGTTGATGGGAGAATTAAGCTGGGTAAAAACTTTAGTGAGTTGAAATAAACATTCTCAATGAAGAGTTTAGTCCTAGTAGCCATGTATAATTATCGTGATTCAAATAGAAATACCATTGCATTCAGTACAAATAATAAATATGCCAACCAGGGTGCCACTGGTAAATTATCTTTCTGTGATTCCCAAAATGTAGCCTGAAGTCCATTACATAGCTGCATTCGCCAACACAAGAGGGAGCTGAAATATCTTGAGAAATAGAAAAACCCAGGCAACAAAGGTGTTGGCAAAAGACAATGCAGTATCCAACAGAGCTGGAGTGACTACACCCAGCTGAACCCACGCTGACTGCTGCCAGAGCAGCTCAGACGGTGGCTGTGTGCATGGCAGAGCTGGGGCTGAGCCAGGCTGACCCTGCTGCACCTTGCTGACTTCACGTGGAGCCACTCTGCTATCTCCACACTACATCTCTAGCCTCAGCACTGCAGTGAGGAGACACTGGTGATCAGTCTGCATGGAGCCAGCTCTGGTCTGCAGGGTCTGTACCGCAAGCTCTGCTCCGCACAGCTGTGGATGTACACCTTGTAGACGCAAACTGCTGGGGAAACAGTCCAGCTGAATTTAAGCAGTGCTGCACCTGAAGTAAAAATACCTGGAGCCTGGCAAACTCTGTGTAAAAAGAACTCCATCCACAGCTGCTTAAAGCATATCCTAACCTTCCATGGATAAAAGAACCAATGGCATCTCTGAAGGAAACTGTCAGCAACTACAACTGAACTATGGTTGCCCAAATATCTAACAGAAGACATGCATGTAGGAGAGCCTTCTAATTGAGTACAATTATGACGCTTCAAATTGCCTTCTAAATTGAGTATGTAATTTAATTTCTATAGATTGCACACTGTATACACTGACAGTCCTTTTAGCATGTTCAATCTACAATTTGCATTAAGTTTTAGATCATGAAAACCTAGTCTAACTACCAGAATAGCGAACAGAGCTCAGGAGACCAGGACTGTATCTATTTATATCTTAGCCAATTTGCTGATACCTACTCTATGCAAGCCATTTGGGTTTGATCCTATGAAAGTGACTATTAATTTTTAGAAGAACGTGGACGTTCTTAGAAGTACTTTATATGTTAACTAACAAATGCATTTGTTAACATACTAATTTGCTGACAAGTTGATGACATTTTTGCAGTCTGAACAAACTTGATACAACACATCAAAATATTGTTTAGATGAATGACACCCTAATATTGATCACATCAGATTTAGGCAAATTTTGCCTTCAATAAAAAGAGAAATAATGAGCCTACAGAGCTGTGTAATTATATTTGGATTGAAACATAGAACTATAATTGATTTGGGACTGGAAAAACAAGGCCTACTCCAAGACCTTTAACTTGCTCTGCTTGTATAAAACTTTCTAAATTTCCAAAATACAATTGTGTAAATCTCTCAAGGGATGAATAATACAAACGGCTCCTAGAAAGTCCTTAGAAAGAACCAGTCTAGCAAAAAAAGTCTAGGAGAATTCTGTACCTAAAACTCTTACCTCCTGTTTTCTGGCTATGGATTACATGTTTTGGAGTGAACAAGATATAGAGTACTTTTCATATCATGACCCTTGGCATTTGTTTGTCCTTTGGTTTGGTTCCCTATTTATACTCAAATAGTAATTGCTTCCATAGAACGATGACTGGATCCTTCACTTACTGAGTCCCACTGAGCAACTGCCCTCCTGCCTCCTCAATAATTCGTCTTCAGTAGGGTTTATGTGTGAATACTAAACAGCTGGGCTTCCTGTTAGCTCTTTGCAATACAACACCAAACTAAAGGGGACCCAAGCGCTGCACAAAAATGAAACAGAAGACAGTGGTACCAGCAAATTGCTGTCTGCCAATTTCAGCGGGGGTGAGCTATTTCCCTTTAGCTGAATGCTGTGTGGAAGTAAGGCAAGAATTGGGGACAGAGTTATTGGGTGACTAGGGGAATCTTCCCAGCACAGAGCACAGGGAAGGACAGGACCAGAAAAAAATCTCCCAAAGAGAGAAACCAGAATCTCTGAATGGAGTTTCAGTCTGAAATCCCTTCACATTCATGCTCCTCTTGCTGATAAGACAACTCTTGGGACCCATGTTTACAGCGACGTACAGTCTCAAAGTCATTGCAAATGTCATTTACACTTCCCTATGTGGAAAGCAGTCTTAGCGTATATCAGGCTCCTTTGCACAAATCCCTGATTAAAAAAAGTTGATCTCTTATCTCTACTGCATGTTCTTTGGTGCTGTACTAACTAAATATTGCTAGAGGTCTGACCAGAATACCAGAAAGCTTAAACAATTTATTAGGTCCTCTTGTGTTTTGCTCAGCATAATATAACAGGTCCCTGTTCTACTTTGTCAGCTCCATCTGTTAATGTTTATTCTCAGTCTTTGCCCCATAACATTTTCTTCTCCTTTTTGCACGTATTTCTCATCTACTTTCCTTCTTTTCTCAATAACAACAATATGCAGGCAAAATGCTAATTCTATTTGTCTTACTTCCTCTGATTTTTCCTTTCCCTTTGACTCGAGTTGTGAATTATGAGAGCTTATTTTATTAGCAGAATGGGACAAATATCTCTACTTATGAAACAAGAATCACTTTCAGAAGCTTTTACTTAAGACATTCTCAGTCACTTTGGACATAATTTAAAGAGGTTGACAGACAACAGAGGCTGATACTAGTTGATGCTGCATTTCCTCTGGTTCCCTGGCTCAGGGATTTAAGAGATCAATTTATGCCATTTAGTCTGACTTGTACATGTCTTTAGAGCATTGGGGAAATAGGACGATTCCTCAATTCAGGAATGGATGGTGGCCACGTTGCATTATTCTACTGTAATATCAAAAGACTGAAAATTCAGGTGTTTTGACTTCAGAACCTTGCACTATCTCTCGCTTCACCTTTTCCTTCTTGGGGCCAGTATAAGGCAAGTGACCGAGTATAATCTAAAGGAGCCAGTCAGGGATTTATCACTCAACCTGCCTTAACAGAGACAGGCTAAAAGCAGCCTCAGCTGCTCCCGAAATAAGTACTGCTTGATGTGAAACAAGAATAATTGTGGCATAATTGAGCTAACTGGACTTTCTGTAGCATCATTGGCGTATACTTACTTGGATGAACATGATGAATGCAAAGTTCTTTTCAAATTTGCCCTTCTCCAAAAAAATGACTGTTTTTCAAAGAACATTACAGAGATATATCCTTCAAACCAAGAAAGTTTAGTTATCTAATACTTTGGCAACTGCTTCTCTCCTCCATCTCTTCTGATGTGAGCACATCTTAACCTAAATTGCAATCTATCACTAAGATCTTTTCTACTTTGTAGTCCCGCTGGAACAGAAATGTAGCTTCTAATAGGTAAACATTCATGAACAACTTGCCAGCAACCCTCAGAAAAGGCATCTTTCAGAAAGCTTCTATGACTTATCTTCAGAGGTCACAAAGAAAAACAGAAAAAGAAAAAAGGAAAAGGAAGCAAAACCTGCCAGAATTATGGCTCAGAAACAGCAGCTGCCTATGAAGATTTCCTTGCTTAGCTGCCCAGTTACACAGCTGTTTTGACTGGTTACAAAACTATTTTTCTCTTCCTATTTTATGATCCCTCACCCTGATTAAGGGAGCAGAGCTCTTGGAATGGAGATTCTCCTGAAAATCCTGGGAATCCCACATTTGAAATGGCAGTTCTGGCAAGTGTTCCGAACAGTAAGACACACTGCTAGCTGCTTCTTGGAAAGCAAACACAGAAGGAAGCAGGCTTCTCTGCAAATCCAGAAAAATATTTGGTCAAGAAGAATAAAAAATTAAATGGGCACAAAGAATGGAAGTTCAGATTCAGTTCTTATGAGTAGACATCTACACATCATAATCCAAAGGACTTTCTTTACAACATCCAGCTCTGATAGCGACAGCAGTGTAACCGTGATAGCACAGATTGCCAAAACCCTCCCAAGATCCTGGACAAATGTTCTGATTAGAAGCCCATGGAGCTTTATCCAAGCAGGTAAGTTTAGAATGGAATCAGGCACCCCTGTCCAGGATTTTTTTTTTTATGGTCAGTGAGACCATAAAGACATAGTGGGAAGAAGCACAATACATGGCTTCACAAATCAGATTTCACTAACTGCTGGCGATATCAGTAGGGCACCTACTCCTGCAGCGCAGCATCCGTATCTGCTGCCCACAGGATGAGATATCTAAAAGCCTTTTTCCCCCAGTGACTTCACTTTGTTTCTATGTATCTGGTGTCTAGGCGAGGAGTTCTGCACCTGCATGAAAGCCGTGGAATCCATGACCTTGGCTTGCCTCGCTGGCAACTTTCCCTCTGCCTCTTGGTGGTGGTAATCATTCTTTTCTTTAGTCTGTGGAAAGGCGTGAAGACTTCAGGAAAGGTAGAGCTAATATTGTCCTTCCATCTCAACTATGTTCTTTGTCTCCTTTAAGAAGTCTCTTAATTTTAGAAAGCAAGAGACTAAATCACTGCTTCTGAGGGATCCTCAGGGACCAAACTATGTGAGAGGCCTTCATATATGTACAGTAGAAATACACAATCCTGATTCAGCTGTTATTTTATTTACAAGTTTTGCTTGTGTGGTGTTCTAACTGGAAATTTTATGAGTATATTATTTTCAGTTCAACATTAGTGGTCTCATCCAGAAAATATTTTGAAAGACTTTACATTTTCTTAATGGTGCCTCCTATTCTTGGACAAATGTACTAATGTTTCGATGGTTTAAGATGCTTTGGTTTTATTATATAAAATACCATGACAGGAGAAGTATGTAATGAAAGCAATTTGAAATAACTCTTTGACATCCCTCAGAAAACACCTCAACAGGAATTCTAGGGTTACATATACCTGAGAGCTTTTTGTACATTTTCATGAAAGCATCACCTAACATCAGGCAGTGACTGCACTTGTCTAGTAAGCAAATACATAGCTGAACAGCTAATCAGCAGTCTAACATACCGGTAATGTGTTAGACACTCCAAAATCTTCTGTTTGTCAAAACTGTGTCCTACATACATAAAGACTTATGATCCATAACAAGATTTTCCCCCAAGACATCCTATAAAGAGCTTCTCCATTGAACTGAACAGACAAAACCAAGAAAGCGCCAGCTGTATTTTTCACACGTTCTTAAATCTTCTTTACCAGCTGATTAACCTGTGGGATCTCTGTTGTCTGCAGGTTGTTTGGATAACAGCCACTTTGCCTTATGTTGTATTATTTGTCTTGTTAATACATGGAATAACCCTGCCAGGTGCATACAATGGAATCAATGCATACCTGCACATAGATTTCAGAAGATTAAAAGAAGCCACAGTAAGTGTACTCTTCTGCTCTCATTCCCTTGTTGTTATTAAACCTGTTGCACCTGTTATGAAAACTGAAAATATTAGAGCTAATTTCTGAAATTATATAGCCACACTTCTGCTTTTGTATAAGCGCTAGTCCACGTTCCCTGGTAGTGTAATTTTCCAACACTGTCCATAACAGGACTGTCTCAGCCTGAACCCAAACGGAGGGTAGTTTCAGGTGTGGCAGCCCTTTAAAGTCCACGCTTTGACTGTGCACCCTGTAAACTGTGGTATCCTTTATACATGAAACCTGAGTCACGCAAAAATTTAACTCTCGAAAGGCTAAGAATTCCCTCAAGAAGATTTTGCTTTTTGAATCACTAGGTTAAATATTAATCTGGTAAAAAAAAAAAATCCTATGAAAGCCTTGCTCAACATGCTAAGTCAGGACTAACTCACCTAATCATGGTCCTTCATACAAATGAGACTTTCAATAGTATGGTCTTCTTATCTTACTATTGAAAGTAACATACACTTCACTGTATCATTTGACAGTATTCCAAGATATTCTAATTAAACATATCAAAATCAACTCAATATGTGGAGTACTTTGGAACTAGGAATTATTTCATCCATGGTAAAGCAAGATCTACAAGTATAGTCAGTAACTCATGAGATCGATAGCATTTCAGACCTATGGTGACTACAGATAGATCTTGCCACCTTGCTATTCTAAAAATACCATAAATCATTTAAAAGACAGTGATGTCTCTGTGAATAGGTCACGAGGCCATTCAAACGGTTACAAAACTAAAAGCGAGGATGCAGTTCTACTAGAAGGAAATTAACTGTCTTGAAAATTTGCAGCTTTCAGAGATGTCTGTAGTCTGCACGTAGTTGCACTGTACATTTCCTATGCATCCTATCTTGATTTCTCCTGAATAATTAAAAAATATGACAGAGACCTTGAGTATTAGAATACAGACCTATTTTATATACTCTTAGCAAAACAATCCTTCCTTGGTTTTGTAATACTAAATTTGGAAACTGGCATTTCTTCAGCAACAGAAGTTACCACCAGAACCTAGACCCCATCTCACTCCATTTTGGAATAGTCAAATTGAACTTCAGATATGGGACCTTCATCCACCTTTGTCACCAAGGCAGTACCCCCCTCAGTAGCTTGCACTCATGCATACACATAAACACAGAGAGGCAAGGATGAACAAAGGAGGTGCTTAAAGTTTTCTTATATATCTTAAGTGCTGTTTGGAATCCAAAAAAATCACAAGTTCAACTAGATGTCTATGGAGCTGTGCCAGCTTGCATCAGCTCAGGATCTAGGCCTCTACAATCATAACTGCCTTCTGCTTTTGGAAGATTATTCTGTGCACTGCTCTTTCTTGGCTTAATCCTGCAGCTGCTATTTGGATGACCTTAAAGTTATTTGTTTCTAAGACTAAATTTTTCAGACAACAAAAAGTTACCCTAAAATAATAAAAGACTAAAGATCAGTTAAAAGGAGAAGTTTCATCAACCACTTTGTCACAACAGCCTTTCTCTGGCTCTGAGATTGGCATATCTGCTGCTGCAGTAGGCTTGTGTGTTTAATCTTTGTCCTCAGGCTCCAAAGAATAAACTCCTGCTTCAGTTCTATATCCATGTGTCCCTGAATCCTTCTGATTTTTTTTTTCTGCCAAATGAAGAATCTAACAAAGAACCATAATAAATCACAAACAGTAATGATCTACAAAGGGCTCTGCCAATGCTCTTCTAAAATATCTTAGAACATTCCCAATCAATGTCAAGGTCTGCTCCCTTTTATAGGGCCACATACTGCACAGCACTGAGCAAGCCCTCAGACCCCTTATTTTCAAGGGTAGTCAATCCACAAAAGATGTCTCCATAAAAAGGGGAGGAAAATATTCAACTTAACTAGATCAATGCCTAGCTATGTTCCTTGCTGAAGGTTCAGAAGCTACAAAACCATAATACTCATCCCCATGAGTATTATGATCTAATTTCGAAAAACACTATTATTAACTCCACTGACTTCATCACCCTCACTGGAGATGCTTGTTTAAATCTCTCTGTGTAACAAGTGAAACCCTCAATAACCAGGGTAGACTATTTCAGGCTCCTGATTCAGGAGAGCAACACTGTGGCATTGCTCCCGACCACTATCTGCACATCTTGAGTCGGGGTGGAGGGTCACTTTAGAAAATGTTAGAGCATTGAAAACATGTTTTCCCTAATGGACAATTCTTAAAATGACCAAGCTGCATCTAAACTGAAATTTAATTACTATCACAGGAATAACTCCATCTCCAACTAAGTGGGCAAGGTGACAGATAACCTGCATGGTTCTGTTCACAGCATGGCAGTCATGCTTCTGCTTCTGAAACAAGAAAGCATCATAAAAAGTGTACTAACAGTCCCGTGGAGAAAGCTCTCTTGTGGGAAAGAAAGTGTCCTATAACTCTTGACCCATTAACTATTTTTAGTTTTCTGGTTGTACATTCCAAACTAACTTGGAACAAGAACTATTGTAAGTGTATTTCTGTCACCCAGGAGAAAAATCATGTAATCATTTCAGTACTCAGTAAAAGCTTGGAAGTACAGATCCAAGTGCATGCACCAAGAACTTGCCCCCTGCTTCAGCCCTTACCATTTCACGTTAAGCCACTCAAGACCCCAACTGTGCTCTATGTGACATCTCACGGGGGCTGAAAAGCACTTACACTCCCATAAGCACGAGTGCTGATCATTTTTCCAAAGCCAGTTGTCTTGTAGACTCTTGCATTTTCCTGATGTGTCTTTTGGACTGACCTGACACTGACAATGTTGGTGTTGTTATGCAGGTGTGGATTGACGCAGCTACTCAGATATTTTACTCCTTAGGAGCCGGATTTGGTGTTTTAATTGCATTTGCCAGTTACAATAAGTTTGACAACAACTGTTACAGGTAAGACAGCCTATTCCTTCCTTACTGCTTCAAAATGATCCTATTTTACTCTAATTCCAGCTGGAATAAGTACTAAGCTACCTTTTCATTTTCAGTCATTTATCAATGATGGGCAGACTTGTGTGGACATAGTAACCAACCCAAATCTTGAAACATTGTCTTCCTTACTGAAATTTTAGCAGCAGGAACCTGCCAAGATATCTGCTGTACAGCAAAACAGAATGGGATTAGGTTTGGACTTTATAGACAGCTGTGTAAACTGTGCTCGTGTTTGCCTTTCAAAAGTACCATTAAGAGCAACAGTGAACACAGGATGAAATCTTATTGGTCCAGGAACTAAAAGCAGAAGGACTCCAGTTTCCAGAAGTGTTTCTGTGCTTTGGGATTGTATTTCTGATATTTTATGTTGAGCTCCAATTTAGGAATGCACTTTAAATCCAATCAGTCTGTAAGTGTTTTACTGAATCACTGCCATGGAAATTCAACCAGAACTGCTCTGCACCTTCTGAGAAAATCCAACATTTAGCAGTTTTGTTAACATTCCATTTTGGAATAAAAACAAGCATCACATTTAAATTTCACATCAAATATAAATTCAGAAAGTACATGTATTATAAATACCTTGTGAACTGAAGGATGGCAAAAAAAAGTTGAAGGGAAAACATACAAGAAAAATATAAGATATTTGAACTGCATTAAACAGATTGAAAGCCAAAATCGTGGGATGCTTCCACTAACTTCAGAGATCTTTCTCCTTAACCCAGAGCAACTTTAGGTTCCCAGCTGATTATTTGCAATAGGTAATATTACCAGGCTTGAGAACCCTTCAGCTAGGATGCTAGTCACTGCAGTCTTCCATTTATCATCTACTGCAAATGATTCTGCACTAATCTTGTAGCAGCTCCCTATAAAATTGGTTCACTTCTGTATTCTAATTTTGCTCTGAAATGGAAAAAAAACACTTGAAACTAAGAAAACACAAGACTATAAGTGAAATAATATTATTTATTTCTTAGGTTGCTTCATAAGCCTTGCCTTCCCTGTAAGAGTAATCTGTAGTTTCATTAAATACTGTGGTTTAGTTCTAACCATAAAAGCAAGCTTCAATTCAGTAGCCTTTACAACACTTACAAATATTCTTCTTTTGGTCAAATTACTCTATAACATTGCTGACATATTTTGTTCAAAAAGCTTTCTTACTGTCCCATCTATGCTTCAACACACCTTCCTTGAGAGGAACAGTGTCAGCAGTGTAAGGTAGGGTAACAACACCGAAAATCAGGGCCAGAAAATATGAGAATCTGCACTTACATCATGATCTAGTTCTACATGCAGAACACTGAGCTAAGTCAGCTCAGTTTATAAGAAGGTAAGCATCACTTAATCCTGTTATTGACTAAGCAGAAAGAAGCATTATTCACTTGCATAAGAATGTTTTTGAATTGTGGGAAACAAGAAATACTGTTGCTATCTCATCAGTGACAAATACCTAGCAATTTTCTTCTTTAATAACAGAAAAGAATTTGAGTTTATGGGTCCAATCTAGTATCTCTTGATCCTGCAGCCTTCCCCCAGGAAAACACTTTAAGAATTGCAGGACATAAATTCTTCAGCGTTATCAAAATAAAGTAATATAAGGAAGAGGATAAAGTTTGGCGTATGGCACCTACATTTTTGAGTAGTGTAACTGCTAAAAGGAAATCATATTTACTTTGTGCTTATTAAACATTGCTGATGCTCGTAGAGCCACGTCCTCTGTTCTAAAGGTCATATGCAGCGAAAGATTACATACCAGACACTGTGCACATTAGGTAGACATCTAAAGGCTTATGGTTTACTTAACTTCAAGCTAGGTTTGGTAATAGGGGTTATTAATACACAGGAAAATTCATACATCTATCATAATACCATGTCAGACTGATTAAAAACCACAACTTTGTACAATCATTACTATACAATGCCCATTGTATAACATTTAACTTTAAACTAAATTCACTGTGGTAACAATCTGAAAAACAAGAGTTGTATTTTTTTCAGAAAAACCTAGCCAACTTCATAGATGAAGGGACCTCATTACAGATTACAGATGGTTATCCACTGCCATCTGAGTGGCAGCACAGTTTGCTAAAAATGCATTCCTGGAGTTGTCTGAAAATACTCCTGCATAGCTGATCACATGAACTGATGAATAGCAAGGCTTTTTCACTTCAGGCCATTCTCTTGCTCTGTTACCAGCTAGGATGATGGCATCACTCTTGAATATCTTGATATTTCATACAGCTTTGTTGATTTTTTTTGAACAGAACTCAATTTTAAATCAAAATAGTAAACAGAAGTATGTAATTTTCTAGCATAGTATGCTGGTACGAGCTTTTTATCATCAGGATAATTGCACAATTAGCATTACTATAAAACCATCCTCATCTAGTTCTTACAGTGGTTTTTTTTTTTACTGTTCTTCTCTCCATCATTAGAGACGCTTTGCTGACTAGTACCATTAACTGTGTCACAAGCTTCATCTCAGGATTCGCAATTTTCTCCATATTGGGCTACATGGCTCACGAGCACAAAGTTAAAATTGAGGATGTAGCCACTGAAGGTAGGAAATTAATTTTATGCTACTTTTACCCCTTTTTGTCCACCATTTCTTTGCAAATGTGTTTATATTTGTTTCAAACAACTGTGTGAAAATCTAATGGAAGTGACCTTAATTAAATTACTTGGAACTAAAACTCCGTGTAAATGCCTTGCTGAAACATGAACTCTAAACGGTATTGATTCCTCTCACCTTTACTGAATTGAGGTTCCCCAGCATCCTACCCCTTACAAATTCAGCCTGTGCAAGAGGCATTTACTACTGCACAGTATCTTGAAAAATTATTGCTGTTCAGCGCCACAGGTTACTCTTTTGGATGGTTCTGGTGAGCTTAGCTGTAGAGTCCTTTCACTGGTAACAGGTCACCGATGATTTTAGTTCCTGTATCTCTCATCACATCCAAGAGTTCTCCCACCAAACAGTGGAGTCTACATCCACAGGGTTCCTTCTCTACTACATACTTCAGAAATAGCTACTAAGGTTGCAAATCCCATAGAAGATTATTAGAAGTGGAAAAGAATGGGATAGACTTTTTTTAAAATAATGTATCCATGACAGTTTCTTAAATTATTTGGATATATTTTTGGCATAATGTAAATTTTGTTTTAACAGCTACTCAGAGTGTGATGTATACTGATGTAGAAGTCAACTTAGACATAATTTATCTTATTAAAATGAACACTTTTGTGAAGCTAAGAAACACAATTTAGTAATTTTTTTTTTCTTTTCTATTTCAGGAGCTGGGTTAGTTTTCATCCTGTATCCAGAGGCAATTTCAACTCTTTCAGGATCTACATTTTGGGCTGTGGTATTCTTCATCATGCTCCTTACTCTTGGCATTGACAGTTCTGTGAGTGTTTTTTCCTTCTAGCCTTAACATTTTTCCTCTACTTTTATATTCTGTAACTGGAGAGGTATCAACTTAAACAGGGGCTTTATTACATTTTAAATAAACATTCTGTACATTCCCTGAGTCTGTTTGCACAGTCCAAGCCAACATACCAATAGTATTATGCCTGGCAGTATATTTAAGGACTCACAATATTTAAAAGGTTTAGGAAAAGATCAAGTTTTTACAAGCCAGCAAATAAGTACTCACTGCTGGGTTTTTATGACCTTACAGAGGAGCTGTTAATCAACAATTATTACTATTTAAAGGTAAGACCCAACATTATTGCTATAAACTATTACTACTATGAACCTGCCATAATGTTTTGGAGCCCTACTTGCAACACACAAGCAACAGTAAGACATTGAACAGAATGGCTTCTAGAAGAGATTTTTACATGTGCTGAAATTCATTAATCTGCTCAAGACAGACAATGTCTGAAGGTAGTCTGATTTTTTTCCATAAACAATGATACAAAATTTCTTGTAAGTTTAGTCATCATTTAAAAATCACACCAGAATATTTCCATAGTGGTTTCATTTTACTGCTATCTTACTCTAAAATGTCTAGTCTAACGAGCGTATTTGCTCTCTCCATAATGTGATGACTTCTGTAGCATGATATTCAGGATCACAGAAACTTCAGCCCAGAAAATATCCCAAGTCCCCTAATAACATCTGTACTGCTTTGTTATTGCCAAAGAGGCAGGAAGACATCCTGTTATATTTAGCTTAAAAGTTGATTAATTTCTGGGAAAAACAAACAGGGTCTTTAAGGAATAGTGAACCATGAACAACCATTCATAATTTTTAATAGGGTTGGGGTTTTCTTACTATTCTAAAGCCTAAAAGTTTCTTTTGTAGTTCTGAATGTACAGAGCTTCTAGGAATTTCTGGAAATGGCAAAAAAACCCAGTGTTTCTGCTGCTTACAACTTCAGAAAATTTCATTCATTTTCCAAGTCAAGAGAGGGAAATAATGAACTGACATGGAGGGGACAAAACTAAGAAACATGAGGTTGCAGCAGGAAGCACTGATAACCATTGGCCAATAGCTCAATGAGACCTTGTGGAGTGAGGTCTGAGCTGTAGAGCAGTAGGAAGAGGGCAGAACTATGAAGAAGAAAATACATGCTCAGAAGTGTTCAGATCCAAAACACTTAACTTTCCAACACAGAAGTAAATTTAAGGCAATGTAAAGAAACATTTGATTGACAAAGACACAGGGCTTTAGATTGCAGAACGTACTTTTCCTAGGAGCAGAGAAAGCTCTTCCTTGTGGAGCTAATTAAAACACTATAAACTGATAAACTGTGGCCAAGTTTAGCTCTTTCTTTCTAAAAGGGGAGGGATTTGCTTGTTCATGTTTTGTTCAGGTTTTTTCATCATTCACATAAGAAAACTCAGGTCATGCAGTATTTTTTATAGCGGTCTTCTCAGTTCTCCCCTCACATTTGACTGATAAGTCACTGAAGAGAAAATTCAAATATTTAAATCTAAAAATCAAATAACCCCAAAGCTAAAGCGGAAGAGCTATATATGAATACTTTTACTCATGCGTATAAGCCTACACTGGCACACAAATGTAGACATCTGTACAAAAATGGAACTGTCAAAAAAAAGAGAAATCTGATCATGCAAGGTTAAGCAAGCAATAAGAAGGACAGAAAATGGAACAACTGTTCACAAACATTTTTTGCAGTAGGTATCTAGCTTTGTGTAGGG